TGTGTGTGTGTGTGTGTGTGTGTGTGTGTGTGTGTTTGTTTGCCTCTGTGTGTGTGTGTTTATTTGCCTGTGTGTGTGTTTGTTTGTCTGTGTGTGTGTTTATATGCCTGTGTGTTTGTTTGCCTGTGTGTGTGTTTATATGCCTGTGTGTTTATGGTTGTATATCTATATGTTTGTGTTTATTTGTACGACTGTGCTAGCGATACGGACAGAAAAGCAAACACATACACAGACAGACGAATAAATACGAATAAACCATATATGTCAGGAAGGAATTTCGGTTCCATCAGCGGTAAGCACGATTAGAGCCGCGATTTTGAGTCGAAATTCCCATATGAAATTTCTCGAAATTGCCTTGGGTAGTGTGTGCGTGTGTGTGCGTGTGTGTGTGTGTGTGTGTGTGTGTGTGTGTGTGTGTGTGTGTGTGTGTTTGTGTGTATTATGATAGCCCGAAGTTCGCGCGCATTCACAACCCATTTCCATTCGTGCTCTCTATTTAACGCGTCAAGGACTCCAGCAGGGATAGCTCTGCCATCATTTCTTTCAGTTTTCTCCGTTTATTTTAGTTGTTTTGATGATGTATTTGTTTACTTATTTATTTGTCGTATTTCAGTTTCCTTTTATTAGCTGTCTATATTAGATACAATTATTGGAATGTTTTTCGCAAGTGAAACCTGGATTAACTCGCAGTGAAGTGGTTTTATTAATTTTATTTTTCTCCTAATAGTATTCTTGGCATCAATGATAATAACGTAGAATACACACATGCAAATGTAGACTTGCTTGGATGCATGTGTATTTTTCTGGTCACATATACGGAAACGCGTATACGTGACTCATGCGACAGGATCCATAAGTTAAGGTAGTTCTATCAGTTGACGTCACAGTGTTGCCATGTTCTTGTGACCTGTGAAACGTGCCTTTCGTAAGTTCGTAGGCTTTCCTTTATCTCACTATGCACTCGGGCGCTCATTCAAAAACATGGGTATATATGATAAAGATGTATGTACAGTCTGCATGGATATTTATTGTACTGTGTGTCTATGGTACGTATGGATATGTTGTATATCCACTGATTTTTTTTTCTATCATGCTCGCTGACTATGCTTTGGGTCATTTGCCTCTCCGAAATGTAGTGCTAGGAGAGAGGTTTCTGATAAGCCTGAACGTATTGACTGATATTATCCCCGAGTTCAGGTTGATTAGGTTTGTGATTACAGAAACGCCATTCCTAAATTGTTTAGCAATATCCATGTGTGGAAGAAAATTGAATATAATTTGTTATTAACTGCATCTGAAGAAATAGATATGAGAGAAAGGAGAAGAAGGAGAGGGAAAGAGAGATTGGAGGAGGAAGGAAAGGAGAGGGACATTAGAGCAGGCAGCCCGACTGGAAATAAGATCTTGTACAGTACATGCACACATCTTTACTCGTGCCCTGCGCGCAAGTCCTGTGGCCATTAGGCTAGCAAGTGTTTTTTTTCCGGAATTGATAAATCTATAGATAAGCAGCGATGTATACGAGAGGCAGGGAGATATCCACCGAGCTCGTTGTCATCGATAAGACTGAGGGCGTTCAGCTTGCGTCACGTGGTCGACTCTGGTGCGTTGTCGGAGTAGGGGTTTCAGCTTTTCCTTCCAAGCTGAAACTTCTTCCGGATGACGCCCATAGTCACTGTAATAAAGCAAAACCCCAGATATGATGAAAAGGTAGTTGCGGTTAAAGTTATCTTAATTATATTACATCGCTTCATCACCGCCAGAGTTACAATAGTAATTATCATTATCATTATTTTTTTCATAATTGTGGACACCATTATACCATTAATACTAAAAGGTATTCTTCCGCTTACAGGTACAGGTCAAAATAATATCCATATGCTTTATATTTTTAGGTATCATAAAGTAGTCAATTGGCAGTTTATCCGCAACCTTGTCACGGACGCGTTGTATTGTTTCAGTGTGCATTGCTCAATAATGTGCCCTCTGTCTGCAAGCGCTGATAATCGAAAAGATTTGATAAGTGTGCCTTTGTTTAATTCCCTGGTGCTGATACACTCGGTAATGGATAAGATTTCGATTAATATTTGGTAATATGTGATTTCTACTAGAGCAAAATTTGACTTGATTAAGAATATCCGGCAGCCTTTCAGTCACGAGGTGTGGCGTAGAGTGGGCTCGGAGGTCACAGAGATCGGTCCAGATGGAGGAGGTTAGCTATATTCGAACGGAATTCAAATGTTATTAAGAAAGAAACAGGGCGAACAGTCAGTAGGGCGAACAGTCGTTAGGAAGGACAATCATCGGGGAGTACAGTCAGTAGGGAGGAGTCAGCATATTAACCCAGTAAACTAACTGAAGTGTAGCATGTACTACCAAAGGCCCAGGCGCCGCGAGCGAGAGCGTGCAGCGAATCAGACCCGAAATTCTTCTCATGACAGTGTCATGTCGTGGTCGGTTGAGATCGGTAGGCCTGTCAGAAGGGCGCGATGACGTCATGCGGTTTCATTATCGAACGAAGTTTCTTTCTAGAAACTATTAAAGCGTAAATCAGTCGCTTCATGGATAGCCTTTGGCCTCTCTTGCCCAGATGTATATGTGCTCTCGTTTCCTTATCTAGCGTTGTCTCTGATAGCTGGCTTTGAATTAGGGGGGGGGTAAGAAGGGGGGGTATCGTGGGCGTTGTTGAAAGAGATTCATTCATTCATTATCGGTGCGATGGACAGATCGAACTAGACAAAAATGGGTGACAGATACAGACACAGATAGATCTAATAAGGACTTCAGAATATACATTGCTGTCTATTGCGTATCAGCCGCCTGTGTGTAATGGCCCGCCTTCTTACACTGCTTATATTTTTTTTCCTTCTCTTTATGGGGTTCTGATTATTTCCCATTAAATTTCTGTCTATTTCTGAATATTCGTGACATCCGAGATTGTTTGGAAGACACCTCATGGAATCTGTGCGTGTGTGTGTGTGTGTGTGTGTGTGTGTAGCTGTAGCTGTAGCTGTGAATAGAAACGAGAGGAAGTTGAGGAATGGATCCGTTTAAATCCTTTCCCCATAAGCAATATCCCGTTTTGATAGGAAAGGAGAACAACCTCTTTGGAGTCAGGCTGTAAGGGCGAAGGTCCTCTGCTGTAGCACACATAGACCTGGTGAGACATTCCCCTTGTTTCTGTTGTCTTCCGGGAACTCACGCAACGGCCCCCTGCTCTTCCTCCACCCCATCATCTCATTCTAACGTCCTTCACCTCTCCTTCTCCTCCTCCTCCTTCTCATTCTCATTCACATTGTCTTCCTCCTTCTCTTCCTCCTCCTTCTCCTCTTTCTTATCCTTTACTTCCGTCTATACCTCCACTTCCTCCTCTTCCTCTTTCGCCTGTTTATTTTCCTTCTTTCCCACTCCTTTCACTCTTCATATTTATCACTCTTCCTTAAGTTTTCCATTCCATCTCTCGGGAAAAGGGGAAAGAAGAGAATAGGGATACAATTTAAATGGTTTATTTTCGAGTGATGGGCGCTGATGCTACTGTCCACATCCGTTGCGTTTTCTGTTATCAAACGGCAATTGAAAATAATGATAGGATTGAGTTCATTGTTTATGCTTTTTTTTACATTACAGTTAAACCTTAAGGTACGGCCACCTTGTGAAATAAAAGAAAAAAAGCTGTCTGAATAGGCAGGTAGTTCTAACAGACGGATTGTCAGCCATTTGGGAATATTTGAAGGAGTTGGGGATATTTTGAATGTTCTTATTCTTGTTATTATATAGGTGGATGTCACTGTATAAATGAAGGTGTATTAGTATCAATTCATTATTTTTATTTCTCATTGTTTTTGTGGCAAAATAGCTTGGCAGATGTGGACAGGTGGTCGTCCTCTTGGCGGAAGCTAATGCATGATGGTTGGTCGTAGGTAAAAGATCAGCTGCCAGGCAAATGATCGCTATATATAAATTGTTATTAACTTAAATCGTAGGCCGTGGAATACAGGGTGATCGTTATGGACAGGCAATCGTTCTAAACAGGTGGATGCTAAATCATGTGTAATAATGTAGGCAAGATAAGTCTTCGTCCGATCGCTTCTCGACGTTTCTTATTTCCTGTTGTTAAGATGCGGGCTAAAATAATTTTAGATTTTCCAATCGTGGGGAATTTTATAATCCAGATTGCGGCTTCTAGGTTTGGCTGTGTGTAAGTGAAACGATAAGTGTGTGTGTGTGTGTGTGTGTGTGTGTGTGTGTGTTTGTGTGTGCGCGCGCGCGCGCGTGTCGCCCTGAATCCCCGCAGTTTGGTCGACCTCAGTTGGAGAAGGTCGTTATTCCGCCGTTTATCGCCGAGTTACCGCTGCCCTGATGGCCCTTCTGGCGGCCGCGTCGAGGGGAAGCACAGCGGCGTTTCCCCTCGCGGAGGAGGACGTCTGGCGGTGAGTGACGCGTGCGGCGGGGGGCGGAGTGGATGACCTCGTGACCTCGTTCGTGACATTGTTACGTCATTCCTAAGGCTGTGACGTCCTCTTCCTTCCCCTGGGAATTGTTAGGCCTCTCCTTGTTAAGCACTTGTTACTTTCCTTGTGCGGCCATATATTTGTTTACATCGGTATGTATATTTCTATGTACTTGTGTGCTGCATACACGTACGCGCACACTCGCACACATATGGAGAGAGTGAGAGTAAGAGTGTGTGAAAGAGAGATAGAGACATTAATTTGTAATAAGGCAAATGCTGATCAATAAGCAGTACTGAGAGCACGCATGTAAGTAAGCGTTGTTTACTGCGCAGTGCATTTATTAGAAATACGTTTTATATCATCTCTTGTCACACACACACACACACACACACACACACACACACACACACACACACACACACACACACACACACACACACACACACACACACATATTTGGTGATATTTTTTTTACCGAAGAACATAGATCGTAATCCTATTTGATTGTTCCTGTTCTTCATATAACCTATTTTTCTTTCTTTTCAGAAACTGAGCGGCGCATCAAACCAAACAATCCAGAGTTCAACGCGCAGTTTAATTATGCCGTAAGTAGGCCTGTTTGTATAAGGTGTTTCGCGCCAATGCGCTCACTTTTCTTTTTCTGTAACTATTTCAGTATTTATGACCTTTTTTCATTATTGATTGTTTGTCTTAAAACTGAATATAGTTGGCCTGTTGTTGTGTTGTGGGTAATTTTCATGTGTCCACAGAATTTTTAGATAAGAAATCTTCCGGACATTTCACTTTTGATTGCCATACACTTGCGGTTGACATGAAAGGAAAAGGAGGGACGTGGCAACCCATAAGTCTGTAGGAGTATCGGAAATGTTAAGCAAAACAAAAATGATAAATCATGATTAGACTAATAAATAAATATATCAATCAATAAATTAATAGATTAAACACAAGGAAAGAAGAATGTAAACAGTAACTAAATTATACAGGACTACTTCGGTTGCATGATGTTGAAGGGGAGTACGGGAGTAAGGTGTACGTAAGTTGCGTGATGAAACATTTATTTCGCGGCGGTAGAGCGTTTCATGGAAGGGAGTGCTTTCCATGGGCGTCCATGGCTACTTATGACAGTGTGTATATATCCACCGTTTTCACGTAAGTTTATGTAAACTAGAATTGAGTATATGTATATTTTTCAAGATTGAAATACTTGCTTCCCAGCGATCCACCAGGCGGAAGAGGCTGGTATACAAGGCAAGGGTCTGTCTCCTCATAAGCACTGAAGATGCCGGCGGACACTTGACATTAGATAACCAGCTGTGCCCCATGGCAATAGGCGGCCTGTATCGCATCTTGACAATAGTTAACGATAGTTAGCAAGCACTCCACTCACGATTGTGTGCCGCTGGAACGAACCTACTTAGCAATCAGATTGATTAACGATTGTGCGAGTGCCCGCATTACACAGGAGCCGTGCATTGAACCTTGTTTATGCAATAAGCAAGTATTGGATGTCATATTGATAGGGACTCTGCTGCGCGTGTCCCGAGGGGTCGATGCTGCTTAAGTGATGTTAGAGTGACTTGATTGGTGGTCGACATGACGGAAGGGAAGGATTTGCCGCCTGCATAGTAACCGTATTTTGTTTAGGGAGAAAACGTGAAGCATATTTTCATCACTGAAAAGGGGGTTGATAAAGCTAAATGTGTGGATTATAAAATGCAGGCTAGGTCACGATGAGTGGTCATACTCGTGCCGACACAGGTAAACTCGCTCTCCCCCCTTTTGCTTCCTCCAATTCTGTCCGTCTATCTGGCTGTGCATCTACCTAACTTCATCTCAGCATTGCTCATATTAGCACTTTCATAACACACACACACAAACTTGTATACATATATGTATATATGTATACATATGTTTATATGTGTGTATATATGTATTTGATATATATGTGTGTGTGTGTGTGTGTGTATGTGCGTGCGTGCGTGCGTGCATAAATGTGTATATGTATATAGGTATGTATGTGTATATACACATATATATAATATATATTATAAATATATTATATATAAATATATATATATATTGCATGTATATAATTATTATTATTATTATTATATATATATATATATATATATATATATATATATATATATATATATATATATATATATATGTGTATATGATATAATTATGATATATATGATATAATATATGTACATATTTACATACATATGTATATGTTTACGTATATGTATGTATGTATTTATGTATATATGTATATGTATGTATATATTTGTGTATATGTATATGTGAGTGTATGAGTACGTGTGGATCTATATATGTATATAATATGTATGTATATGTATCCGTGACACGCACGTACACAAACACCATCCACGAAATGGCATCGTATATGACTATTGGAATCCTGTGTTCGGCGCAAACTGATGTCATAGTCGAGTGTACACAGATCAATCTCCACTTTCCTTCAGCCTCAGTAAATGAGTAAAAAGCATTTTGCATGCAAGCTGATTGATATAAAAAAGCGAGAAGGAGTCGTTTACTTCAATCCTAAAACGAAATTGATGTAGGAATCGGTAATAGATATCAGCAGGGCAATGTTTACATCTCGTGCCTGTTCGAGCTTGCGTATGAAGGTCACTTACTCCTGTTGGTGGAGGAAAAGGTCAGGTGGGCAGTGCGCGTGCTTTTCTCACACGCACATGCACGCACTCATACACACACGCACACACTCACTCTCGCTGTAAAATATATCGTGGCTAGCAGGGCGGCAATAGTGTTTATAACGACTTGAATCTTTATAACGGAAGAATACAACACAGTAATGGGAACACAGGAGACGAGCCTTAGGATAAACGCTGAGCGTGGGGTCGGGTGGTCCTGCCCTTGACACGACGAGCGCTGGGCACGAACTCTCACAACCTGGGTCATCCTCGGGCATAAATAGTGAGCGTAAACCGGAACGCGACGCGGGACGCCAGCTGCAGGAAGCGTGGATGGGTGGGTGGGGGGGGGGAGGCGAGGTCACCGTGACAGCTGCTTATAATGGTCTCTAATTTGAATTCACAAGAAAACCGCTATATTATCTGGCAGGTCCAGAGAAAAACTCAGTATCTGTTTAACTCTTTTATTGAAAAATAGACACGTAGTTATGAGGAGATACTGTGTCGTGGTAGACGTGGCGGAGGCGACGTCAGCACCTATGGGGATGACGCGGCAGATAATTTAAAATAATCAATCAATCAATCAGCACCTATGGGCGAGCGGGAGAAGGTGTTCGCGGTTCAAGGTCCGACTCGTTCTCCCTTTCGCCCGTAGGAGCTGGCGTCGCCTCCGCCACGTCTACCACGACACAATATCTCCACCTAACTACGTGTCTGTTTTTCAATAGAACAGTTAAACAGATAATGAGTTATAAAATAATGGTTTTCTTGTGAATTCAAAGTAGAGACCATTATACTCACACTTGCACTTGCACTCGCACTCAAGTTACACACTGGTTTTAATTTATTATTTTATACGATTTATGTTTTTTTTTTATTCGAGTTGCATTAAATGTGTCGATACAAATGCCAGCGAGAAAGGTACTGTTGCTTATTTTCCTTTTTTTCTTGCTTTCGTGTTATATTTTAAACAATACACAACATGGAAGCTCGCGTGACACAGCAAGGGGGGGGGGGGATTCGAAAGCACTACCCGAGTGCCTTATAGCATTAGAAGGTTATGTATTTTTCTATAAATAGTTTAAAGATCAGTTTCTTGGGAGATGGACTAGATTTTTGTGTTGATATCCGATGTGTTTCGTCTCTCGAGGAAGTTCAGACAAATGCAGGCTTAAAAAAAAAGAAGAAAAAAAGCCCCACGAATGTTCCTCTATTATGTACGCAGGACAGCGGATTGATCTACCCTCGGTCCTCGGAATAGCGCGTGCCCCCATTACGTATGCTTGCATTTGTCACTGTCTCGCCCTTATACGTTCCTTGCCCTACTCTGCAATATGACAGGTCCCAACGCCTCGTCGCCTTGCTTTCGCCGTCGTTATTTCAAGTATAATCGACGCCTCTTATTTATCTTTGCGCGTCGAGTTGTTTGTGCTTCATGGAAGTATGCTTAACCATGCTTGAGATGCATGCCAGGTGTCATTCTTAGCGGCTCGTTAGTGCTCTTCCATTGTCGTTGGACGTCCGGTATGGATCTGCCACCTCTCGCTGAGGACCGTCTTTACGTGTTTTAAGTTGCGCTCATTAGGAAGGCCTCGGCCCTGCTCGCCTCGTCGCCGAAAGAAGGAGACAAGAAGAGAGAGGGAGGGAGGGTGGGTGGGTGGGTGGGTGGGAGGGAAAAGTAGACGAGGAGAGAGAGAGAGAGAGAGAGAAAGAGAGAGAGAGAGAGAGAAAGAGAAAGAGAAAGAGAGAAAGAGAGAGAGAGAGAGAGAGAGAGAGAGAGAGAGAGAGAGAGAGAGAGAGAGAGAGAGAGAGAGAGAGAGAGAGAGAGGAGAGCGAGATGGGCGACGTATATATTTTGCCGTCAATATATCGGATTGACATTTACCGGTGGGAAGTAAATGGCTTGATGACGCCACAGGAATTCTATAGTATTGATAAAAGCAAATTCGTGGACGTTACTTACCCCCCGAATGTTCTTCCTTACTCTTCCTTACTCTTTTACTCGAATTTCCAAAGTGTAGTGCTTCCGGCAAGCCTTGTTCCCGGCGCTTTCGACCCACATGCGCCATTACCCCAGGGGATTGTGCGTCCGCCGTGCTTTGGGCTCTTTAAGGCATAGTTTAGTGCTCGTACATCAGAAATGCAGATGTATGCGTCTTCGCTTGACGTCTGTTTTGAGTGTGGGTGGGCATCTAAGTGGCGTGAATAGATGCTGTCTTGATTTACACGTAACTGCCAGGAAATCGTAACGTATCCTGTGCTTTTATCTTTGCATTTTTATCCTATACCTGTCAAGAAAAAACGTAACACATCCTGTGCTTTTACGAGTCATGTGTGTATTTTTTTTTTATGAAGACACACAGGCCAGGCTTACACAAACCCCAACTTTTATTTTGTCTTTATTTTTTAAGCAAAATTCTGGTGTAACTCTCAACTTTCTTTATCCGAATGAGAAGTTTGAGAACTCGAGAATGATTTTTTCCGCAGTTCGGGCCCGACCCAATCCGCCGGGCTCGAGGAGAGAGAGAATAAGGGAAGAAAGTCTCCGATCTCGCGAAACTAACCAGGCCTTCTAATTAAGCTTATGGAAGCCGAATTACCTGTGTTTTTTTTTTGTTTTGTTTTGTTTTATTTATTTATTTTTTTTGAATTATCGGTCTTCCTCCCGAATTAGGCAAGTTGGACATTTGATATCGCGTTCAAAATGGAAGGTAATTTATTTTCGTGTTGAGTTAACCGACTGTAATCTAGACTAACTTTCCTTCCGCTGGACTCTCCGACAACTTTCGAGAGATGTGGGACGAACTTTTTGCATAGGTGTGTGTGTGTGTGTGTGTGTGTGTGTGTGTGTGTGTGTGTGTGTGTGTGTGTGTGTGTGTGTGTCTGTCTGTCTCTGTGTTTGT